AGATCAATGCACACAGCTGGTTTTCAACAGTTTGACAAATTTGATGGAGCTAGCCTTGGTGCTGAAAGTAGCTCACCCTATAAACACTATAAACTCCTGCGGGGCAACGATTCCTTTAATCGCCTTTCTGAATTTCAGGGATAAAGGTGCTAAACCAAGGAAAGTAAACCAGAACTTGCGATGGTGACCTGAAAGAGCTCCAAGGCAACAAATCACAAAACATCTGGTGCAGTGATTTGTATATATATATTATATAGCATTAGTCAGTGTCATAATCTGTTCTTTGTCATTATAGACACACATGCAGTGCATAGCTCACATCCACTGACCTCCTACAGAGATCAAGCAAAGTTCAAGCCTTCTGTCATTGGCAAGCCAGGGAGACTGCAAGTTACTTGCTGCTGAAGGCCAATTACACTACAACTCCTGACTTATTCTGGTGAAAAACAGAACATTATGCTCTCTGCTGTGCACAAGTACATGCACTGGACTACTCAGCCTCTTTAAAAGAGTCTGTCGCAGGGTACATTCACGGGCATGAGTTTCACCACGGGAAAGCTTTTATTTTAGCTGCATTGTTTGCTTTTTTGCTGATTTATGTATTCAGTGAGAGAGGAATACCTGTTACCGGGTAGAATTATTACGGTGTGACTCAAATCCTTAACAACGGATAATTAGAAGTCAATTAGGTGTGCAAACAAGCATTCACCTCAGCCGGGAATGATGAGCAGCTAACTGCTCCTCTGGCTCTGAGGGAGGCAGTAAGGAGCGGGAGGGGAAACCTATGGACCACGACTGAGCAGCCAAGGACTGCAAATGAATCCATCACGTCCCGATTGTTTGTTGCAGCCAGTGATTCCCCCCTTGTGCCCACATACTCAAATTAAATGACCACAAGGGGGGATTGAAGGTTTCCTGCATGCCAAGTATGTGGCACATCAACATAAGTGTTACCTTTATTTTAACATAGATGTATTGTTGTGTTAGTGCCAGTATAGTACACAATCATTCAGCAGAACCGCAACAATATTTCAGCCGATCATGTTTCCCTTTCAAGACAGAGCAAAAGTCCAGATGTACAGTTACATTATACAAAAGAGCCAAACACATGCAAACATGTGAGCTAAACTTTGCCCACACCAACGCACGTGCTGTTCCAATAAGGTTCAGCCTACATATAGTAATACATGCATAATCCTAGTTATCCTTCCAAGCAAGGCAAATGTATATGGCCGATAAGCAGGGGAAAGTTAAACCGGTTATTCGTCCACGAGGAGTTTCGTCGCACGTTATAAATCACCGAATCGAACGCGCGGCCACCGTCCTACCGGGGGAGGAAACGCTCTCTGCTCTCTTTGGCTCCATAGTCGCTGTTTTGTTTTGTTTTTTTAATTCTCCATGTGAGTCGAAAAAAAAGGCGTCGTGTCACTCACCGGCGCTCGTCAGCGTCGACTCGGGAAACAGCTGCTTCGGATAGTTGACGCTCATCATTCAACTCCCAAGTTTCGCGAGAGCGCGCCGCAAGCCCTGCGCGTGCACACGGTGGATGGCGGGGGCGCGCAAAAGTGGGTTAGTTTAAGCGGCGATGTTGTGACTGGGAATAAAAAAAGAGGCATTTGGTTGTTAATGTTTATCTTGCCCGAGAGAAGAGATTATTTCATTAAATCGACAATTAACACGTTGGGTAACTATAGACCACTAAAGATAAATACTCAACCAAAGTGCTTGTCTGTTTAAATCATTTCAAATGGGATAAATGTTTCTGGAGACCATTTGATCGAGCCAAACGAGTAACATTTTCAAATGATTACCAATCTGGCAAAGAACATCAAAAAGCATATTGATTATTAATGACAGTAACTTTCCCTCTTTATGGTGTCTCAAATTAATACACCTACTTATCCACACGCAAACGTATGAATACATAAACTTTTAGGAGTGATGAACTAGCTATACAGTGTTTCCATGAGACGTCTCTATAACTGTTCACTGTCCCATGTTCATCGGCTACACAATGCTGTGTCGAGTCAAACTTTGGGAAGCTGCCTGGTAAAGTGGGACACACACACACACACACACACACACACACACACACACACACACACACACACACACACACACTACTTGAAGGAATCACACACATTCAGTGCATAGAGTTCTGTTTGTATTCATCTTGCAATAACAAGCTGGAATATAAACAATATCAGCTGTTAAGCTACATGAGCTATAAACAGGCCAGAAATAATTCTAGTGGGGTTGTTTTCCCCTGCAGTCGTTGCCATGCGATGTAACAAGCAGCTGACAGTAAAGTCCCAACTGAACAGATAAAAGCTGGTAAAAGTCGATCTGCTTTTAACAAGCCGAGACAACTGCTGCTATTTTGTCGGAAAGAAAATGTTTAACAGCACATCTGTTTCAAGGCAGATAATGGAATGAGAATCTGTCTCCCAAGAATACCACAAAGGATAGAATGTCCTATAATCCCAAGAGACCGCTTGAGACAAACAGGAAGCCTTTCACTAACCTGCTATTTTTAGACCGTCTTATTTCTGGAATAAACAAAATGTAAATGGTACCAGGTATGATCCATATTTGATGACTCATTAATCCATGACAGGTGAAATGTGTATACAAACTGTAATCTGCCCTATTTTTGATCCTGAGTCTGGAAAAAATGAAATGTTATGATTCCAATTCATATTGACTGATGAAATTTTGGTGAATTTGACTTTTGCCAGAGGTCTTAATTGATTTTGAATGCTGTTGTAGAAAAACATATCCTAACACAATAATCATAGTCTAGATTGTCTGAAAACAAAGCAGCAACTACCACAGCGTAATTCTGATCTTATGAAATCGATACGCGATTGCTAATTAAGTCTGCTATTATATTTGGCGATATAATAGCAGACTTAATTAGGGGGCGGTCTTGGGTGATTTGACAAGATGACATATAGAGTCGCAGTCTCCAACCGTTGACAGGCGGATTATTTAAGATGGCACTTACAACCAGCTCTTCTGCCAAGACACCTACATCAGCTGAAGGAGAATAAAGAAGAAGGGTAAACGTCATAAAGGATCTTAGGGAGCGTTAATGTACTGTTGCCAAAGAGTGTAAATCACACAGGTGACAGGTCTTTGTCTTTCCGATTTAGTCTTTGAAAAGACTTGAACTCGAGGAAGACGAACTGCAGTAGGGGATAAAAAAAGAAACAAGTTCAGCGGCTAAAAAGACAGATGGCATTTGAAAACATGCATTTAAGACGCTGCCCCGAAAGAGTTAATTGACTTTGACTTTGTGTCAGCTGGACAATAACTGACACGCCTTTGACATCCAGGTGGCCAACAGCGATGTCAAGTTCCCCTTAACGCCAAATCTTCGAGTGTCTCTGAAACACACAAGTTTGAAATGCACTCCAGTCTTTTCAGAACTTTCAATTTGAATCAGCTACAAAACAACAAGGATGGAAAAGTTTCCATTTCGGTTTGGCATTAAAACATAACTGCATAAAGGCATAAAAACCATGTTGGCTTTGCAAAATGCTAATTTGGGGAAAATGTGATTAAACCATTTTATTGGAAATCAAAAAAAAAATCTGCAATTTATAAAAAGTTGGAATTAACAGGCTGATTATGAGTATTCCCATCAGTTTCTGCTCAGAAATCATGCAGAAGTTTTGTGCTGTGTTCTGTGACTGAATTTGAATCTGAACGGTTGCAAAAAAAACCTGACCTCAACACAACCAACCTACATAAATTCCCCAATTATCTGAGCAGACAGCTGTTTTAACCTGACAGCGATCATCACAAACCCTGGATTCTAATTAATGCTCTAACCTATGCAGCCTCAGAGGCTTTTGGGTGATTAGTGCACTACAGGTAAAAAAAAAACCCCACACTGGTTCCCCTGGACGGCCAGAGCTGCCTCATTACAATCAACACCGTCGGATGGCTTCACTTCCTAAAAAGTATCTCCATTCCAGTGGCGAGCCAGCTGCGTCCTCCAAGCGCCACGAGCAGCGATTGGAAAATGTAAACAAACACATCACTTGTGCGGCTCCGCTCGTCCCTGGGAACCGCCGGGGAGGAATCCAGCTCAGATACGCTCCGCAGAGCGCACTAAGTGGAAACTGACTTCACGGAGGGATCATCGCTCCATCTGAAAATAGACTGCTTATCAGAAGTTGATGCTTCGGGTGTTTGAACTAGATTCTCTGATGTGTTATTCCTGGGATCTTTGATCTGACCTTTAGGAAAAGGTGTGAAGAACTCAATTAGTTTTATCTTAATTTGCTATTGATTTCCGCCCAAGGTGTCCCTGTGATCAGAAAGCAGAGCTACGATCAGTTTATTTGCCTTAATGAGCTTTTTTCTCCTCACAGCACAAACATCGTCCGATTGTCATTTACGCCTCGATGAACTGTACAACAGACGGCAACGCTAAAGAACTCTTTGATGCCTCGAGGGAATCAGCGAGGCAGCGGCTAATCGAGGCGTAACCGCTCTCTACATAATTCAGAAGTCTTATTATAATTTGTCACATCGAAGATGGCTCAGCAATAGATCTTTTCCCGAGTGAAATGTGTATTTTATTAATATGCCATTAATGAAAAGGGGGGAGCTGTTGGAGCTGCGCCGTCTCCTTGCTGCTTCAGACACTGAGAAGTTGGTCGGCGGGCGATGACCAATCTTTACTTCTTATTTTCAGTGGCGTTCTGTGAGGACGCTACAATCCTCTCATTACTGTTACTCGTCGCGGCAGCTGCTCCGTGAGTCAGCAGTCAATCAAGAAAACACCTTCAGAGCCCAAAGCCACCATCCACCCACAATTAAAATGCTGCTCTGCAGAGGAGAAGGGAACTCAAGGCCACCCGGAGGGGAGGGAAAAGCCCAATTACCAGCTCCCAATATATTGTCAACCAGAGTAACTCTTGAAAACACAAGAGCTCTGACTTACTCTTGTACCGGTTGGTGTTGTTAAAAACAATAAATACATTCAATCAGGTACACAGAACTTTTGTTTTATTATCGCTGGGACAAACTAGCACATGGGAGAAAAACAGTCCCCATGGTGATGGCATCCACTGGGCCACAGCTCGGACCATGTATACCGCACAGAACTCCTAAAAAGTTATAAAAATAGACAATTTACAAAAAAAACATTGACAAAGACAGTTCAGTGGCAGTAATGATTTGGTTGTTGATAAAATAAACGTACAATTGGAAAAAAGCAGAAGAGATTTCACAGTTTAAAAGAGGTGACGGTCCGTCACGAGGCGGCCTTTGGGAAAGAAACGCTGGCTACACAGTAGTTTCGTGTTTCCACAACCCCGTCTTCACGCTGGCCGCACTCTCGGGGGAGATCAAAGGCCCCGCGTGTCCGTTCTCTTTAACCGCGCCGCCAGTTTGGGTGACCAGGTTGAGCCCGTACGACTTGGGTAGGCTCTGTAGTTCTGTGCTGCCGGTCTGCTGCACGGGACCAGAGTCTTTACTCGAGCACGACCCGGCGGCGGTGACCGCGCCCGCCGCCTCGTCCGGCGCCGGCGGCCCGTCCCCCGCGGTGCCGGCGCCTCCTTTCTCCGTGAGGCGGGAGCGTCGCGGCAGGCTCGCGCCGTCGCTGCTGTCCTGCTGCTGCTGCTGGCTCTGATGCCGCTCTCTGTAGGCCATGTATGCCGCCCGCCGGCTATTGCGCGCCGCGATGTCGTAATGGTGGTGCCGCCTGTGGGGGGCGCTCTGCGCGCTGCCCTGCACGCTGCCCTCCACGCTGGTGGGGACGTCGTAGGCGTACTCTCGCAACACGGTCAGCCGGCTCGCCCTGTGCGCCCGTGCCCTGTTTTTGTGATGCCGGCTCGTGTGCCCGTTGGTGGTGGCCGCCGCCGCCGCATTGATGATGTTGCTCACCGGGCGCAGCTGCACCTCCACCGGTGCCACGTGCATTTTGATTTCGTTGTCTAGCGAATGCTCCGTCAGGCTGTTGTCCAAAACGGCCCCGCCGTTGGCCGTCGCCGGAGCCGGCTTGCACTGAGCTGCCTCGGCGTGCAGATTGGTCAGCTTGCTGCCGTGGGCGGAGTTGCGCACGCTCGGTGCGCTCTTGTTCGTGTAGGAGGAGTCTGCGCTGCTGTGGCCACACTTGACTGACTCCCCGTCCGCCTTGCTGGCGGATCCCGCGGTGGATGTCATGGCCACGCCTGGCTGAGGCAGCAGGACGTCCTCTTGGGCCGAGTACGCCCGTCTCCCAGAGCAACAGGCCTGGGACCAATAGCGCCTCATGTCCTGCCTGTTGACACAGTGATGCGCCACCATGAACGCGCCCAGCGCCAGCGCGGCCACCCCAAACAGGCAGGTGAAGGCCAAGTCGTACGGGTGGTCCTGGGATACCGCCATGGCCCCGAACACCCAGAGGGCCGCGTACAGCCCCAACGCCCCCGCCGCCCCCATGAGCTGGGCGGCGAAGGTGTGCTCGTTCTCCAGGGCAGACAGCGGCACAGGGTGGGCAGCGGACGCCGAGCAGGGAGAAGCCCCCTGAGGCTGCAGCTGAAGGGTGAGGGGGACGCATTGCCCGCCGGGACCCTCTGACCCGGCCTCCCCGTTGGCCGGAGCCAGATGCTGCTGCTCCTCGCTCGGCTCCTTGAGCTCGTAGCGGCGTTCGGGGTGGCGGCGCAGCTGCAGCAGAATGCTGAGGAAGTACATGCAATCCACAAAGACGATGAATCCCACTGGACCGTAAAAGGCGCCGATACTGGGCTCCCATGACATCCAGCAACTAGAAGGGGAAGAGACAGACGGGACCAATCAAGCATTTCATTTAGAGTCAGACAATACCTGTGGCTTCTTGAAGAGTCCCCCCCCCTGCGCAATTATCTCAAGACCATCGTCAGGCCGTCATTTCCAATTCCATAGCAAGTCCTAAAAGGGGCAGTCGCTAAAGGCACTCGTTAAAACAATACAACATTTTCTCATCTTTATCCGTCAGTGCCAAGATCTACTTCAAACTCAAAACAGCTCTTCAAAACTTCAGCGTCTCGTTTTTACACTAACTGCCCCATTACATTTAATAACCCAGACTGGGTTTGTTGTGCTTGCAAGAAATTAATTAAACTCCAAAGACTTCAGACAGATACGGTGCAGGTTTCTCAATTACTCAGCCACGTTGCACCGTTTAAACAGCTGCTCCTGTTGAAGAAGTGGGGGAGGGGGGGGCGCGTAGCAGTTGCTTGGATGCACATAGCATAAGTAGGGCACCGTAAACAGAACTTCAGGGAATAAACTTTTCCTTCCCTCATAAAAACATCCATTATTTACGCAAGCAGCCGGCCTGGCCGATCGATGACTAAAGCAAAACTCCTCCTGAGGACGGAATGTAAAATAGCAGCATCCATGCCCGAGAGACCTTTTAAAGGCTGTTATCCGCATTAATGGACAAAACATTACAACTAGCTCATACTCAGGGATGGCAACGTGAATTGCTTTTAATAGAGGGACTGCTTACTATGGTGCATTCGTCCGGCTGCCGTAGTTTTTGATGTTGGCTGCCGCAGTGATCCCACAGACAATGATGGGTATCCCTCCGCCGATTAAGTAGAACCTTTTGGAGAAAGCACAGAGGCGTGTTCTGCTTTAGTCTTTCAGTTCGTAGCATGGCATGCGACTATGAGCGAAATGAAGTGGGCCAGTGGTATTCCAGCTCTCATGCGGCTGTTTCACCAAGACCGAAGAAAAAGCCTGTGGTTTCCTACCACATAGAGAAACAGGGTTACAGAATACAGAACACTTTCCTTCACTTCTGCCCTTCCGGAGAGTGAATAAAACAAGGTAGGACTGGGAGAAAGCGGAAACTTCGACACTACATCCCCATGGCGATGGTGTCGTACCTGAGCATAGGCCGGGGCGGGGGCGGAGGTTCGTCCAGCTCTTCGTAGCGTTTGGCCTTCCGTGTCACCTGTTTGTAAATGTTGCGTGCAGTCACACCCACCCACAGAGCAGTTGCCAGAGTGGAATAGTGCAGCAAGATGCCCACCTAGAAGATTGAATCATTTTATACTCATTTGCTAAAGGGAAAATCAATGCAATCAAATCTCTTCCCGTGAATACATCGGAAGCACTTTTGTGTTGGAGGCGTCCCAGTGGTGCATACTCACTGCTTGGCACACGCTTGCATGTCGCGTTTGATTGATGCCGCCTACAAAGACCCCGCAGGTGAGAGAGATGTGGAAGCAAAGGTTGACCAACATGTGCCAGAACTTGCGGCTCACACGGACGGACCTGAGGTTACAGAAACAAATCAATCGCCAATTACAAAAGGACAAATGGGTCATTCTCTCACTCACTCAGCCAACGTGTCTGGGTAGGATACATATACAGCAACGGGAACATAAGAGTAGAAAAGGCACTTGTCCCACACTAACAAAGTTAAATAATTAACAATCAAAGAGAGACAATTACCTGTGATGATAGATGTAGCTGATGATTATGGTGAGCAGGCTAATAAGTAGTATGATCGTAGTGGCATAGATGACTGGGTGCAGGGGCTGGATGCTTGGAGAGAGGTACTCCACACTGCTGAGGTCCTGCATGACAGACAAGGGGAGATATCCTCAGTTTCAAGCAATATTGTTACTACAAATTCAAATAAGCCAACCTACCATCAGCAGGCCATAGTTCCCCAGAGAGTTGCAGGAAATGGTGGTGAAGTTGTCGTTGTGGCCTACAATGCTGCAGCCGTCGCTTTGCCATCCTCCGTGGCCGCCCACCAGGCTGAAGTTCCAGCGCGCGGACACAGCATCGGAGCCGCGGGCCAACCGCCTCAGGGTGACGTTGACGGGCGACCTCAGGACACGTGGAGACATGCCCTCTGATGGAAGACACAAACAGGGGTGTCACAACGCACACCGGCGTGGTTCTTGTCGTGTTGTCAGGTTCCGGCTGCATTATGCGTCAGCGTCACAGTGTTTTCACAATGACTCACCTATCCTGGCCATGATGACCGGGGCGGCAACGCTCCTCCTCTTCCCGCCATCTGCCAGCTGGGTGGAGTTGCTGGTGGAGGGGAAAAACTTGCCATTGCGGAGGCCCAGTAGATGGAGCTTGTAGACCGTGTCCTCCGCCTGCCCGGGGAGTGCCGCTTGGGTGAAGAGGGACTGGGGGAGCTGCAGGGAAGCCTCCACAATGGGGCTCTACACGGACAAAAGATACGGTCAGGTAAACAAAAACAAATCGAACCGTTGTTGTCCAAAAACCTTGTCAAAAACAACCTGCTGCCGAATTGGAATTATCCACCCCGGGAGGTGCTGACCTTGTGAAGGATGCTGGAGAAGGAGCTGGTTGTGTTGCATTTGAAGGCGAGTTGGCGTTCCTGTGTGCGCTCGGGACTGGACCTCTGGAACAACATGCAGGTCATGCCGTTCCAGTCGTTAGCACGGACAACGTGAGACTCGAGTGCTACGTTGGGTGACGTCTGGAAGGAAAGCAGGAATAGAGGAATGTGACTCGATTCATTTTTAGAAGAGTTATATTTATATTGCGTAATTGGGTCTCGGCCGTGCGTAGTATGTGGGTTTCTTCAAGTGCACCGCCCATTGTGGGTGCAGCAGCAAAGTGAATGAGCTGTCAATCAGGGGGAGGTGGGAGGAATGACGACATTAGCTTAACAAATGGTGGGACGCCCCTTCGGGAAATTAATAATATGGATGGTGCAGAACGGCCGGATGTGAACACTTTGTTTTCATTTTGTCTGTACAATGACGATGCGCAGTAGCACCGGTCGGCTCAAGCCTTGCTCTGTCAAGTCTGCATATTTCTGTCAAGGTCGGGAGAACACTAAACCGCCGAAGCACCGCTTTCTCCGCTCGTTGCACGGCCCATCGAACCCGGGCCCACGGTGTGTTGACAGAACTTACCAGGGAGAAGACTTGTACTGTGGCCAGACGGTAGACTGCTATCTTTTGGAGGCAGGCGATGATGCGCGAGCACGCCATGGCTTCACGCTGAGCCATCCAGAGCACCCGCTCATCGGCCAGCATCAGGTTACTGGCCATGCTCAGCATCACCTCTCCGAGCTGCGTGACAAAAGAGAAAGAAAATGTGACTCGGGCTGGGCACCTTTGAGACATGAAAACATCGCTCACTACAGGCTCAGGAGCGGCACAGCGGCTTGTATTTCGAATAAATTGGATGGAAACATCAGACGCCAACATGTTAAGCCACATCTTGTTTGCAGCCACGGGAGGCGCATGGCAAGTGTCGATTGGAAACACATTTCAAGCACGTTGTTGCCAAGCGGAACTTTTAAATTGCTTTAAAACTACAGTGGTACTTGCCTACAGCGGTAACAACATGCTGGGAGCTCCTTTCCTTTGAGAAGGTTCCTGTCTGTTAGCCTACAGCTGTGCTGAATGTCGTGACAAGCCGTCTCTTCGCATTAAACAACATGACAAAAAAACAGCTGCTGAGCATTAATCGATTTACTCTTGACTGGGGTACAACGCATGCATCGCATTGAAAAGCTGCCTGAAAAGCGACCTGATCTCCTAAAAGGTTCAGGACAAAAAGTTCTTACGTCTTTAAACTTCTCGACAAACTTGCCGAACTTCTCAATCATCTCGGCCACGAAGATAATGTCCATCTTGTCCGAGAAGTTGGCAGCGTCGATGGTGTACACCAGCAGGCGTCGAGCCCTGGCCACGACGTTGCTCTCATTCAGAGGCATCTAGCGGAACGATAGAGAGAGAACAGTCAGCCTGGATCGGACTTCAAATGGTCCAAGCAGGCAGGGGCCTGGCAGAAGAAGATTTCAGAAATGAAACCTTGTTAGTGAGATACAGACCTGGTTGATGACGTAAAGAAACCTGGTGACATCTTTCTGGTACTGGCAGCGGGAGTAGTCCTCCTCCGTCCACAGACCCTTGCGATCGCACAAGCGCCCCGCCCGCTGCTCTTCACCCGCGCCACCCGAGTAGGTTCCCGCGCTTGACGGCAGTCTGTTGCAAGGCAGGTAGGCCCTGATCCCCGCCAGGGTGCGCGGCCACCTGAAGAAAGACCGATAAAACACAGTCTGGCTGTTTGTATTCTTCATTAATGGGCACATAAAACAACCGTATTTTTTTCTCACTTCGGGTCATTTAAGCAGTTATGTGAATAACCGCGACAACAGTCATTTAATGAGTATGTCATTAAAACTTTGAAGTAATTTATATGTTTGACCACAGGAGGGGGCCAGAGTACTTCAAATGAAAGCATGCTGCACAAACATACTGGTTCATAAGTGTATGACTGGATTTAAGTATGCAATTTGGCAGAAAAACAAAGAAGCGTATTATTCATGAACAGAGAGAAGCCTTGTTCATAAATTACATTCTTAAATGCCTAATAAGCCACTTACAGCCAAAACAACCAGATATTTGTAGTGAAACTGGGTGCAAACGGAGCGCTTTCAATTACTTAGAATGTGAAATAAAACTCAGGAGTTGCCGTTGTATGGAGTTACAGTTGGTGCTTAAGGACACTAGCATAAGTGTAAGCATAAGCATAAAAATAAGCTCTAAGGTCTGCTTTTGTGCTATTGCGGGAACTCACTTGAACTCTCCCTTGTTGTTGGAGACGCGTTCCGGAGCACAGTACTCAGCGGAGCTCTCCAACACAACTATGTGGACGGTCCTGGTGGTGTTGCCCCTGCTCGTCCTGACCCGGCACTCCCAGTTCCCGGTGAAACCAGGCTGGATGTTTGAGATGGTCAAGGCGCTGACGTGGGAAAAGCAGAGGAGAAATTCCAGATAACTGAACACAACAGCTAGCTTTATGGGAAGCAAAAAAAGCTAAACAGGGATGCTTGATTTGCTGAGATTGCAGAAACATGCACTACCGTACCTAGCAATGAGGGAGCAGTTCTGCACCATGCGCTTCTCGATGAAGATGCCTTGGGCGGCGTCCGACTTGACCATGCGGCCATTCTGGTACCAAAGCACCTGCATGTCCTCAGCCACAAAGGAGGCCTGACACTGGAACGGCAAGCTGTCCCCCTGAAAGACTACCTGGCGCTGGGACGGAGTCAGCTGGAACGAGGGCAGCTCAAGTGGAGCATCTGGAGGAACAAGACAAGTGTTTAGAAGCGAAGAGTCTGGCTGTCACCTCTCACGGAAAAAAGGACGGTCACCTGATTCACATTTGTCATAAACTACCTTTTACTCTGTTGTCTCTAAACATACCGCCTTTTCTTTTTTGCCCTTTCTTGACACAATAACACGTGGGCACTTTGTCATTCGCGTCAGGCCTCGGCTCCTGCTAGTTCTGTGCCACGCATTTCATAATCCCTCACCGTGATGAGCGCCCAACTGATAAGACATGAGCAAGTACAAACAAAGGCAACACTGGCCTGCGAAGCCCTTTTGTTATCTCCCGTGTCATTTGCACGAGCCGCTCTTCTCCAGACACCAGCAGCCTCGCTGATACCGAAAAAGAAACATTAAACTAACTGTGCACCACTTTGACACCACAATCTGTGCCACTATTCAACCTGACTTATTTCAGCCTTTCAAAGTGTCTGAGACCGGACAAATGACGCATCAGGAGTTGCCACTCGGATGACAAATAACTATTATTTTAGGGCGACATTGCTTTGTGGTGTCAGATCTATGGACAAATGTACGGCGAATTTCTCCAGATGTGTGTCCCTACCACAGGTGAAGAGCTCTGGCTTGATGGAGGTAATGAGCTGCCCCTGCAGAGACTGGGGGAAGGAGCACTTGGTGTTCTTGACCGTGATGCTCCTCTCTTTGATCCAACGCAGCAGCCACAGGAGGTTGCAGTCACACAGCAGGTAAGGCGTCTGAAACTCCCTGCGGATGCATGGAAACGCATCTTTCATGACTTCAACAGCGGGCGTCACAATCACATATTTCAATACAAAGCAACACGCTTCTCGTCATACTTACAAAGACTTCAGAGACACCAAGCTGTCTAAGATCCCCTGAGACAATGAAGAGAACATGTTCCCTGAAAGGTTTCTGGAGAGAAAAAATAAAGACGAAAAAAACACTGATTGTTTATCCGAGTCTACTATAAAAACATATCAAGCTCGATTCAGCACACAGTTCATATGTTTGATTAAAAGACTTACAGTCTGATTAAATTGGTGAGGCCCTTGAAGATGTCCACATTGAGACAGCCGATGCTGTTGTTGGACAAGTCCCTGTTGTACAGAGAAAGAATAGATTCAGACATAACATGACAGCTACAATGGTCTAAAACACCACCGCCAATTAGCAAGCTGCACAAAGGCTGCTATGCTTTCCAACAAGATAAACCACGAAAATCAGATTGTGGCATGTCAAAAAAAGTGCTGACGTCTGAGATACCAGCATTTAAATAAAGAAAGAAAAAAAGTGATGTTTAACAGATGGGTTAAGGAAAAAACACCCAAATTCTGCTGACAGATTTACAACGTTGAAGGTGATTTGAGATAACGTGTCCGCGTGGGCCTCCAGGGGGAACCTACACATCAAAGGCAGAGCAACACTCTGCGAGACGATTCATCGCCTGTGATCAATGTCGAATAGAAGTCAAGAGTGTGTGTTCCTCTTTTGCATGTAACATGACATGATGTATCTGGAAGACCTCTGATGCAGGCGTCTGAGACTCCTGAAGCCTTTCAGAAGGAAAGGAAACACACGGAAGGAAAGGAAAACACAAGCTGATACCGCCTCTGTCAATCACACATGCAAACATTGGGCTGCAAAGACCAAATGTTTTACCGGAGGCTCCGGGATAACTTCAGCACGCCATCTTCGGATACGGTTCAGTGGTTTTCTGGGCCCACCATCCCTAATGGAACCTAATTAGCTTTTATTAGCTGTAACGCTACCAAACACTCATGCCTTTTAACTTCAAGAGAAGAAACATCTTCAGCGGCCATCGGTCTATAGCAACTCAAACATTCACAGTCTCAGAGCACCTTCACAATAGCCGGAACACCCATTGTTCTGTAAACGATGCAATCATTGAAAATGTGCCAAGTGACGAAAACAAGAGCCCGGGAGAAAAGACGGATCATTACCTCGACCCACCCGCTCCACTGTATCCTGGGGTGCTGCAGGAATGCCACACTGACACAAAATTATACCTGCAAAACGTCTGTGAGGCACATGCTGACATCCGAGCACTCACGTAATTATGGGTGTTGGTCCTTCAGGTACCAGCTGGGAAATTTACCACGCGGGGTTATTAGTTCCACTTGTAGGAGAGGGGGGGTCTGTAGCAGGGGTGCTGATTTGTACTAGCTGAAAAGCGTACTTCCATCTCCCTTCGATTCCTAAAGAGTCAGCTACCTCGGGGGGACTGAAAACAAGATGGCAAATGCGGTAACTACTTCAACCTCCTTCCACTGCGCTAGGAATCGTGAGAACTAACATAACTCAAGCGCATCAGAGACCTTTTCTCGTCTGGCTGTACTGGCTCGCGTCTCCATCCTCCATCCGCTTTCACCAGTCGACTAGCATTGTTCCGGCGCGGGCCTGGAGCTGTCACGGTACGCTACGAGGAGCGGCGGCGAAAAATAGCCCTGATGTGATCAGGCTTGGCGCGGGGACTGCTCAGCTGTAGGTGGAATGCGCAGTCGAGGCGCCGGGTGAGTCCGTGGGGTTTGGGATTTAGAGAGACGAGGGCATTTGAATGCATTTGTGCGAGTGAGGAAAATGCATTTGAGCTGTATGGAGAGCGAAGCGAAGCAGGGGATACACTTGTGTCCCCCCGAGGGTGTGTGTATATAACACCCGACATCTGAGCAGCCAGCATGAATAAAGAAGCTCAGACAGCGGCAACCAGCTGACTCAGTTTCGAACTTGGCACGGACAGTGTTTTTGTTATTTTAGGAATAGCTTGTTTTTTCAGCATTAAATGAACAATAAACGTGTGCATAGTACATTACAGCGACCTGAACACTGGTCCAACAGCAGCTCTCGGAAGGAAGCCCTCATAACTCCATTGCACTCATATACTGATCGACGTGTTTTAATCCTTCATCCCCAACCTCGAGATTGATTAGTGTAGAACTGATCTTTTTGAAAATGTTTAGTAGATAGACAGAACGGTGCAGTGGGCACGACGGAAACAACAATGTATGGCATTTAAAGGTTTCATCTTTGTATGCAAAATAGTTAAAGATTTGCATTTTTTTCATTATTACTTTATCTTTCATTTTGAATTGGATGGTGAACTTTAAAAATAAATCTCAGAAAGCCAAGACTTAAAACTGACAACTGACTTTTTTTTTTAAGTTCATCCTTCAGTTATTATGTGCCGTGTTGAACACCAAGTCACGGAGTTGGATTTATATATTCTAGGCGAACAACGCCAGGCTTCGACTAGACACATGTGGGGCTCGTGGCAAGTAGACACTTGGAGTGGAGCAGTTTGGCGGATGTGTGCGATTGAGACGAGAGGAGAAACGTGAGCCCCCCCCCTCGCGTCCTCACTTTTCAGAAATCTCTACTGGCATCAGCAGCAGTCCAATCACAGGCCTTGTGGTCCCAATGCGGCGCTCCTATTGCTACATTTTTGACGAGGTCATCGGCAGCGTGGCCCGCGGAGTGGCGCAGGAGTAAATGCAGCCCGATGCGCCCCCACGTCCAGATCTTCCGAGGCGGGGGACTACTACGGCTTCAGAGTCTCAAAAAGACTAATCTGTCTGATGTGTGGACCCCGCAATTATCCAAACGTACGCAGCCTTCCTTTAACAAAAAAAAAAGAAAAAACCTGCGGCACTGCGTTGTCACAAAACACCCAGGATGAACGGGCCCTTCGAAAAGGCACAACGTGAAAATGAGAAGCGATCTAACTATGTGGTGGGGGGGGGTCCACACACACTCTCAGACTGAGAGAATTCCAAGACTGCTTGTTAAAGCAGTGGATAAAGAGCAGCGGACAAGCATGTGCCCGAGGCACGTCAAGTAGATCTAAAAACTGTTAAAAAAAAACTATGTTCATGTACTTCTTGCTGCCAATTAAATCTACTCCCCTTTACAAAAACTGGGGAAAAAGTCGGGTAGATCTGTAGCAGTGGATGCCAACCTTTGATGTAGGGCTTCTGTGTTTACATTCCCAGGGTCCTGCGCTGCCTCATCCTCTCCTTCGCTCATCTTCCCCTTTCTGTGCCCCCTCCCTTTCACAGTCCAGCGACTGACAACTACCCTTTGAAATGAACCGAGGCGGGCAGCGGGGCCAATTAAACTCCGCTGCCCCTCAGGCGAAAACCCAAACTGTACCAGACACGCACGCCAGGTTTGCAGAGTCCAGACCACTCCGTGGTGACAGGGAAAGCCTTCAGAAAAGGCTCCTGTTGAAGACTTTGGGATTCAGAGGACGTATTGGGATGCAGGAATGCATCCGACTGTGGCGTGTGAATATACACTACGCACGGGGAGGGGGGAGGGGGGGGCTTCGGAGCCAAGGAGCTGACTGCCTTCCTGTCTCGCTCTCATTGCGCCCCAGCAGCAGGCAAGCTCAAGTTTGTGTTGGCAGCATCTGGTTAGTGTCGGATTCCAAGTCATGCTGTGTTCCTGCGCTCCCCCATGCATGCACGCACGTGCGCACACACACACACAACTTAACGTTTGCGTACACAGTTTCTGACCCACACTATGTAGGCCAGGTGTATTGTTACATATCAAAAATTATTGTCGACATTTATAGACACCGCGCACACACACACACACGTTTGTATATCCCCTCCCCCCTCTAGTGTGGGAAAGTCTATGGAGGCATCATGGTGTCTGCAGTGGCCTCTGGCAGGGGGCCAGAGAACACAAGGCAGTAGAAATAGACCGCTGCTTGACCTCGCCCCCCCCCCCGGCCTCCCCTATGGACACAGGCCACACTCTAGACCCGCCACAACATGCACAACACAGCGTATAGCTTCAGAACGACAGCTGCTTCAAGCCACTCCTGTCACATGCCAAATAATTCAGGCAAGCGCTTCGAACTGCCTTTAACAAAAAAAAAATAATAATTAAAATTTTTTGGGGTGTAGTAATAATAGAAGACTTGTACTCGCAGAGGGAAGCTCCACCACTACTTACAGTTTTTTGAGTGCTCGCAATCCGAGGAAAGCGCCTGGTTCAATGTGGCTGATCAGGTTACTCCGCAGGTCCCTGTGGGGGCAAAAAAAAGGGGAATTTTCATGAGCAATTTCAACAAAACAGAGCTACGACCGTCCAATCGATCATCAAACAACAGAAAAGGGATCTGCACGTGCAAAGGGACGTGACTTATGCTAATGATATAATAGACAGGAGTTATGAACTTTCAGTATAAGCATATACGCACAGTGAAGCATCTTTTTTTATATCCAACCTCACCCACTGCGCATTAATGCACAGTCGTCATCATTGACAACCATTGTGACTCACACACACTCACTCACTCATCCTCTCTCCCCAGAGGTTCAAAGGCTTTGCGGTCAGAGAATTCCTGCGGCGCTCACCTGCACTGGAGGTTCAGGAGGCTTTCTAGTCGCCACCTGAACCCACACAAAGGGCCTCTGGGAAGCTGCCTGTTTGATGTGGAAGAGCAGTCATCTGAAGGGGGGTATAGGTGGCCATGGGTAAGCCATAGACCGAAACCTTTTGCGTGATAAAGCTTTTGATGTGAACTAGCAGCGGTGGCGTCGCTGCGCATAGGTGTTGAGAGAAAAATGAGAGAGCGGGACAAAAAAATAGAATCTAAAAACCTTCAAAGCAAGTGAGAGCCAATGTAAGGACCATTGGCACGGAGGGACTGGACTTTTCCATTTTCTTTTTTGTAAACTTTTACTTACTTATAGTTGATGGAAAGCAAGATGTTCAGAATGCACCCGACGGGCAAGTGGATAGGAAAGTTCATTTTATTAGACTCACTGGTCTTATGAAAAAAATAAGACACTGTCAATGCAGTTGGTATTCTGATATATTTATAAATTTAGGTTAATAAAACAAGAATTACTCTTGGTTGAAAGATTAAATGCAAATTAGATTGGTATTATTAAAGCTTTAAAACAACAATCGGGTTTAAACAATGATAAAGGACTGAGTAGATGATGGTCTGCAGGTAGTTCAGATATCAGTTACACTGGAAACTAAATGGGGAAAAAAAGAAAGTGTTGTACCTCTGATTTCTATTACTAATGGGCAATGTATTGGGAATTAGAGCATGTTTAATAATTATTATTAAATAATTAGTTATATATACACACACTAGCTTGAATTCGATTTGATGGCTGGTTCTGAGCATGACGCTGACACCCCCTCTGAGGAGAGAGTAACTGATGTGTGTTAAACAGGCCACCAAATGATGACGGATGGCACCCAGTTAATAGATCATTTATAAAAACTAGAGAACCCATTAAAAATATGTCCCTCCATAAGGTGAAAACTCACGGCAGAAATCCACCGTGGAGCATAACGATGAGACAAACATTAGCACATTTAAGCTTATGTTACTAATGTTACGTTTTTCTTTTTATTACGCCTCTCTACTAGTGCTACTGTCACATTTGAGCAATTACCATAATCATCGGTCACTTATGGAAACAGTGGCCACGATTTAGAAAAAGTTACATAGAGTTGCTTTAAAGCACGGCTATACTCACTTTTGCAGAGCGTAACGGTGAGACAGTTATAGCAGCACAAGTGGAAAAGAAACACAAAGTCAGTTGAGTTACACAGAAATATCTGTGTGAAGCTTGCAATCTTTATTTAACCGTGGCGATCACAAGCCCATGATGGTCAAACCAAGATTGGATTTAATTTACCACAGGTATATTTTGTGTGCACTTGGTAAAAGCAACTTTACGTTTATGTCTGTCTTGGCATTGTTCCATTCGTGAACAGGGAACAACCAACTCTCACGGAAAACACTGCACACTAGACATGTTATCCGTGCTGCGTATTCCACAATGCGCATTCCTCCACAGCAGCGAATTTAGCAAAGGAATTAGCATTTCAGGGTCGCCTAGCTTGGCTCCAATTTCTATGAGGAGGGTGATAATGGGGGATTCTGTGTGGCTTATATCCAAGCAGGGGCACCTTTGGCCCCCCGACGAAACACAGTTACTTTGCAATTTCACGCAGAGTGCCGGATCGGCGTAATCAATTCTCTGCCCCTCTCTCTCACAGCCAGCTGCTGTCTCAGCCTCCACGGCCGCATACGGGCAGAGAGTCCAAATGAGGGAGAGTTTCTTTGTTAGCTAAAACAGATGGAAAAAAAAGAAGAAGAAAGGGGCAGGAGGAAGGAGCATTGAAACAGACTGGAGAGTTGGAGGAGAAAGGGGGCGTGTGATCAAGTGGCGGGAGGGAGGGGCGTCGAGTGGGAGGCTCCGGCATCCGTAGTGCGTTTGAAAATCTTGGCTTTTGCTTCATTACAATGACAAAAGCAAGCGAGCCATCCCGCAACCTCGCTTGGCCGGTTGACGATGGACGAGAGTGGGGTTGTGTATCTCAGAGGAACAATGGGGGGGGGGGATCCTTTTGGAGGTAAACTGGCCCGTGAATGGGGGCAAAGAAAGGCAGGACAGAGTTTACAACCAAATTGACAGGCCATTCACAGACGGAGCACATAAGTGCCGTGAGGGCTCACTATGTTGGGAGAGATCAAAGTTCTTTATTTTTTTTTACCACATTCAGCACACAGCCTGCCGCTCATCCTCTGGACATGAGCTCTTAAAATTAATATTTGATGGAATTCAAGTGCCAAGAGGAAATCCTGCCGCTTTATACTGATAATGTACAAAAACATTGCTTTAGATTTTCTGTGAATCATAAAAACAACGGTAGGAATTTACCAATTAAATCAGATTATTAGTGGACACAATACATCTTCTCTCTGCACTGATACCACGGGACTAAATAGGTCTGGCCTCATATACATTCTTTATTTCTAGCCCCTTTTAACCAGACCGAGAAGACTGGCGAGGGGGGAGCGGGCGGGGAAATGCCCTTAGAATTCCATGTCAATGCAGTCATGTGTTATTGTAGCCTTGGGTAAAAGCACGGCCATTAAAGGGTCCGGATATTTTATCTCCATGAAGCCATTCCAGAGTGATAAATCATCCGTGGCCCATGTGTGGCGGGCCCGCGGCCATTTGCTTAAAAAATCTCTGCAGGAAGGAAACACGGTGATGACATTCCAATCTCCAAAGTCAGAGTCACATGGTGCAGACGACATCTCTCTCCGTTGATTGAGGAATCTCCGGGAGTAACCATACGACAATACGAATCAACGCCCTCACTTTACTGCTTTAGGCAACAACAAAAAATGCCCCCCGTCCCAAGAATAACTAAGCAGCTGTATGTTGAGAGTATGTGACCAGGCAGACAACAACCAACCCTTAGGGCTCAAACCTTTTCTCTACTGTCATCGCCGGTCTTCCAACATAGACTGATAATCTTGACTGAGGCTAAGTGCAGTGCAGCCTTCTCATTTTCTATGACCTCGAAGGTCCGCAGGCACCGTGTCAACATGTGTTCTACAAACCTAGACCACATTCCTGAGCTTCAATTCGGTATTTGACAACAGAAGCCCACCATTGTGATATTTCACGGATACATGCAGCCTTAATACCACTCACTTTTTAAATGAAAGATTATACAATGTATTAGGTTGGGAATCTTAATGCAGATATTCAATTTAAATTGCTATGGTATACTTTTCCAAATTGCACTGGAAGTGTTAAACAAATGCCCATTGAAATCACATGCCAAAAAAAGGGAGGAAATAATACTTACAATTTTTCAAGTGTAAATAATCCAATGAAGGAGCCATTTCTGAGTTCTTGAATTTTATTGTTGTTCAGAATTCTGTGGGGAGAAGAATAAAAATAAATATTAAACAAAAAACAATTATAATTAACAGCTATTGAAATGTAATGCACGTCAAATAAATAAAGTCCCCAAAATGTTACATATACTCTTTTTCTGTCTTAACATACAAGTGTTTATGTACCTTCGGCTTTAACAGGTAAACGCACCATATTCCGATCTGTAGCAGCAACAAAGACTCAATACAGTCATAAAGTAAAGTAAAGCCCGTATTTCCCGCTTTGCTTTGCTACACGGAACCGTTAAAAGTTGGCAAAGAGCTGCACCGGTTGGGATTTAATATACTATAATGACATTATGGAAGCAAAAGAGGCGTCCACAGAGAACTTTGTCCTGATTAAATGTAATGCAATATAAGGCGACGCATGCGAAGAACGCAGATAACCCTTGTCTGCGTTGAGCGCATAGACGGAGGTATGTCCCACATATTCCTTCAATACAAGCAACAAGTGCATAACCTGCTATACAAGAAAATTAATCACCACAGAAATAATAGCTGGCTTGAAAAACATTAAGTGTGAATTCTCGGTTGCTTCCTCCACTCGGTAACCAAACAGGTTTTATTATCCAACAACAGGCAAGTTCCAGACTTTCTTCCCAAACTACTCCCCAAAGGACCAGTGGAATCAATAGCACAGTTAACTCAGCAAAAAAAATGCAGAGAACTGTGGTTAGCATATGTTTCTGGCCAGCCGGGAAGGGATGTGGTGGGTGACATACATGAGAGTTGAACCAACAACCCCGGGGCCAGATTGGAGTCATAATGAGTCCCGTGTTTCAAAGGCTTCTGAACGGCAGAAGGGCAGATGTTAAAAACATGGTGATGTGCAAGCCTGCCAATGACATCACCGCTCGTGTGCAAGTGATCTGATGGTACAGGCAGAGAGGCCGGGCCTCCCAAGACTGTGGTGACAAAAGTCAAATTTATCTTGTAGAATAGCTATACGTGCCAATGGGATGTATATACCGTGAGGCCTAAGGGAAAACTTTAAGAGCAGAGCCGGAGCTACTATTGGTTTGGGGATGCACACAATCCAATATCACAAATTCGCCTTTACAATCTGAACTAATCCTTTGACGCTGGAAAAGTGAGATGTGCTTTTGTGGAGCAACGTCCAAACAGATCGGATCTGTAATCCGCAATGGCTCCTTTCACACGGCCTTCCAAGCCAATTTAAAGGCGGTACAAAAGGGCAAAAGAACTGATAAATGATGTAATGGGGCGAGAGCAAAGCATGGCCAGTCATGAGGACATTTACCAAACACAAAAGCTCTGCAAGAAAAGATGCAGAGTCGTCACAAGCAGACCCTCGCCCACATTAAGATATTTGTAGTCACATGCAGCAAAAAAAAATAAGAGGCCTTTATCACGGAAGGTGTAATTAGGTTTCCAGATAAGATTAGGAATCTTAAACACACATGCACATCTTGGGGACAACTCTAATCTGGCCGCGTGAATGCGCAATTTTAGCCTTTGTGACTCTACGGTCCGTCAAAATAAACAAAGCAAAAGTCCTCCTAAGAGTCAGAAGTCCCCTTCCCATCCCTTCCTTCCTGCACACCTTACGCTCCCTCACTAGCCTCGTCTCTCTGCCTTCCTCATGACAGGAGACGGTGCAAGCGAAGCTGCGGCTGCAGAATTGAGTCTTCTTGACACTTGCCTTGCTGAGACAGACTGACAGGGATATACATATTGCAAATCCTCAAATTTGTATGGAGAGTAATTTAACCACCCACATCTCCCTCAGGACCTCCGCAGGTAGACCGCCTGCTTCCTTACAGTCTGTCTCCGGACGTCAGCCTGAGGTCCCCAGACTGAAGATACTGCGCACGCAGTGCCTTCAGGCCGGGCCTCAAACGACAGAGGGGTACCGCCCTTATCTTGATGCATAGATAAGACCTGCTTGAACTCGAGCCAGGAACGAGCTGCAGGGGATCCTATCACATCCCACATCCCGTCTCCTGATGCTATAAATCTCAATGACGTCCGTGGAAAAACAAAACATATTTCCCCTCTCAATGAGAGCAACTAAACGCGTGGCCTCAATTTCATCTTGCTAGTAAATATGACACTATCAAAAGGTAATCTTAATGTCACATATAAAAATACTTCAAAAACGCACCCCTCTGGCTGTAGGCCCATTATCCAGAGGACTAAAAATGGCCAGCCACTACACACTCCCCTCACAGGCACATGGCGCCTTTAAGGACAGAGCCAAAATAGCGCTCTTTCAACACTTCCTTTATGATCAGGAGGCTTTTATACAAAAAAAAACTCCCCACAGCGGGGAGCATTAGCTCCTCAATAGGGTTTCAAATAAGTTTCAAGCTGTAGTTGAGCTCATAAAACTCTTCTAGAGGGACTTCCTCTGAATACAGCGGATGGGAAAGTGGGGCCCAGTTCAGGTGGTAAAAGGAAACTGGTCCAACGGCGGACTATAGCCAGGGTCATTCTTCTGGTTAACTTTTCTTTGAGAGTAGCCACAAAATGGAAAAGAATGCTGTTATCTTCTTTTTTTTTAATTGCACAAAACAAACTCCTACACGGTGCAGAGTAAATAAAAAGCTGCTTACTGGGGGGGGGGGGCGGGGGGGGAAGATCCACTGTGCAAACATCAGGATGAAAGCAGATGAGTCGGAGAGTTAACCCGACAGAAGGCATTGCGCACACAACACGCCTCACATACACACACTCAACACAGCCATTTGTCTGGGATTAAAGGAGACTTGGAGCAAGCTGGTCCAACCTCAACACGTCTGTGAAATGAAAGCGCGCAGACTGACTAAATGTGCAGCTGTCGGGTGTCTCACCTTCGGGACTATGCGAACAAACCCTGCAGAGCGATGAAAAACACGGGGACATTCCTTTAGACTAATGGCTGTCCGGTCAAAGAAACAAAAACAAAATCCTCTGAGGACACCGATGACAGCAAGCACCTGCGTTTTAGTTACACAAACACTGCCAGCGGGACATGGCAGCTTTTCAACGTCGGGGGGGACAACAAACCCACGAGATGACGGGCGTAGGGACGGATCACACATTCCAAAACTCATTTCCCTTCATTGATCCATTTTTTTAGGATCCGACAGCCAAAAGGGAAAGTTCTGCACGATCTTTCAGTGTGGTGAAAGCCTCGAGGAAACCCGACGACAATGGACCCCCCCCCCCCCCCCCGACTGCTAGTTTGTCTGCTGCAAACAAGCGGTGTGTCATCGAACTGTGGGTTCTTTCTCCTGCAGCGAGGGAGGAAATCCCTGCTTCCTTTGTGACACTAATCCTGCGTTCCTCTGCGGAGGCCCAAAAACCAGGTGCGCTTATTTGCTCTGCCCAGCCCAGGTGCTCCTGTGAGAGAAACACAAGCCTGGAGAGTAGGGAAATCTCTGATACGGACAAAGGGGCGTCTCGGCTGAAAATACAACTTAGATAACACGGACACACGGAAATAAACCAGGCCCGCGAACACACCCATGTAGAGTACTCGCGGCCTGATTCATCTCTCCGCGCGAGGCGAAGGTTGATTTTGTGGCCTTGTGTTTTGGCCGAGGTTTGCACTAACATGGGAGGGCAGGCCAGCTGTAAACACATTTGCGTCATTTCCTCTCGGGTTACCTCGGCCTGCCGTATGATTTGGGGAGCACAAAGTCTGGGAATGCGTTGCCCGTTTTCCCCCCTTTTGCAGAGGAGAACCAAGAGCAGAGTGACGACATGCACCCGACCTCAGAGTAAACCGGTACCAGTACTCATTAAAGTCTGGAAAAATAAAAGCTTTTTTTTTTTAAGGACGAGGTAAGTCACGTCACGTGAGAGCATCTGGGTTACATTTTCTGGCGGGGCATAAAAAACAATCCTCCAATTGGTACGATTAGTCCAATACAGCAGACAGTGGGCAAGGGATTTCTCAAAGAAATCTGCTTTGTGTTCAAAATTGACTTTTTATTTCTCTTTAAGCCTGATCAAAATTCTTATTCGGTCTGATCCGGACTCCCTAAAAGCAAAACAGGAAATCTTAAGTACAAAGGAGGTGGGATGGGAGGGGTATGATGAATGGAGCAGCTCTCTAATCACACCTAGCTTATACTGTCGTTTCCTGCGAGGCCTTTAATTAACTCACTGCAGGGCATGGCAATGCAGAAAAACATCCACATAACAAGGGAACTATATTGTCACCATCACATTTGCGGAAAAAATGGGGTCCTAAAACAGACTATTCAACTGTAAAACAATTATCTGAAAGGGGCCGGAGGACTAGTGGTAAGAAGTATTAACTACAAACTAAACGTTTCGAGAAGTCTTCTAAAATCCAGGCTACAGCCACTGACACCATGAAAGAGAGGCCAAAGAAAAAATGAGATGCTTCTTGAAAGCAAACAGCATCTGCAGTCTGTCCTTAGATGACTTGAAACAAAACCAAATGCAATCTTACATTTACTGAAAGAAAGAAAAAATAAAGTAACCCTACACGGAGGAATAACGGGCGGCAATAATCCTCGAGCCTTGGAGGGGTCCCTCCTGGCAGCCGAGGTCTCGTCTTCGGTTCACCGCAGACCAGCTGTGCCCTGACCACGGCCAACCCCGCCACAAGACAGTGGGGGGGTCGTAAAACTGGACCACCAGACTCACGCCGGTTTTATTACAGGTCATAAATTAAAACGCCCGAAAAAAAACAGTGAAATTAAAGTTAAGAGTTAAGTTTATCCTGCCACTTGTGAAGAAGGCAGAGGCGGGGGGTTTCCTTCAATGGATGACGACAAATGTCTGCAAATATAAAAGCGGAGACTGGGAGGGTGTCCTTGAGGTTCCACCGCCTTTGGTCTGCGCTCTCTAATCACGTCTTTCTCGTACTTTGAAGGCCCCCCCACCCCACACACGGCAACCTGGAACTCGCTTGAACATTGGGTTCATTTTTTTCTCCCAGACGGTCCGCCGATGTGGTGCATTTGTGCGTTGTTGGGACGTTCCCGGCTCAACAGGTGTGGAGGACAATGTGGAGATGCGTTGTGATTAAACCAAACTGATTTTGAAAAAATGATATTCTAGTGTTGCAGAGAGCCATGTAGTCTGCTTTACTGGCTTGTACCCTCACTCGAGAAGTTTCCAGGTGTTCAGCTCCACTCAGCCAACTCCCTTCTTCCCCCAGACACAAAACATTACACTATATGTGCTCATCCTTTTGTAAAGAAAGTACATACTAATGGAGAGAAAATGAAAAACCTAAAAATGGACACCTTTGGAAAGGGCTTCAAATGAATGTGCTGGTGGTAAACAGGTTGAAACGTCACAGAATGAACCAGCTAATCCTTCCTTTTTCTTTCCCTTTGCTGGGGTGTATTATCCGTTTTCCACTGCTGCACCCTTATCACATTTCCCCTCCGCAGCAACCGCACTGGACATTAGGAGTTCTCCTTTGCTATTTGTTTTTCTTTTTCGCATGCCAAATTGTTCCGTTCTTTCCAGCACTCTCCAACCAGCCAACAACGCTTTCTGAATTAAATCCAGCAGGATTCAGCCCAGTAAGACAGTGTGACCTCAAATCGATGAGGTCATGAAAATCTTTGTAAGGGAAAGGCGGTTATGCTCAGTCAGTCATCAGAACTGTTTGTGTGTGTGTGTGATTGTGACTGAAAACCAGCTTAACATTGGTGGTTAATCACTAATCAAGGCCCAACTTTAAAATGCTACACAGTGAATCAATGTCCAAGGCCTCTCCTTGGTACCTTTCAAGAGCCGGATGTGAGGTGTCTCTTCCATAACAAAGCACCACACAAACTGCACCCCGGCTGAGTTTGACCATGGTAGGGGGGGGGGCAAAACTACTAAATTGTAATTTTCCTCATTCTAAACTATGTATCAGCTGGATGAAGAGCGATATAAAGTGGACACGAGGAGTATAAGGAACATTGAAATCAGGTTGCGGGCCGTTTACTCACAGCGTGACCGTCCTGTTGGGGAAGGAGTCCGCGGGTAACACCTGATGGAGCTCCATGTTGCTGCAGACCACTTTCCTCTCCGTGGACGGGCTTTTCTTGCCGCCCTTCCCGCCCTTCGGGGGCTCGTCGTAGGACTTGCAGTCGGACGACCCCGCCGAACCGCAGGCGAGCAGCAGGGTCGCCAATAACCGCAGGAGCAGATCCGCCTTCATGTTCCCAACCGCGACTAGAAACCCCGCTGCAGCATGGGCGAAGGAGACCGGGGAGGCAGACAGACCGGGGGGGGGGGGGGTGTAAATGTTTCGATAGCGGCGAGCGGCCTTGTTATGAAATGGACCCCGTCGAAGACACAAACGAGACCGTCGCCAGTGTGCTGCTGGGCTCAAGCGAGCCCTCCTCCTCCATTGCTGCTCTCGCAACGGTCGCCCGCGCGGTCGTCAGTGTTCAGTCCGGCCGAGTTGTCCCTCTTTGTTCGCCAAGAAGCCCCCACCGCCGCCGCCCTCCCCTTCCCCGTTCTCCTGCTGCTCCTCGAGTCGGTAAACGCGTCTAAATGCCGGGTGTGAAGGTGGTTGTTGGTCCCCCCCCACCCCCCTTTGTTGTCCGTACCGTGGGTCTAGCTCCGTGTTGTCTTTTCCACGGCAGGAGGCGGCGGTAAACACACACACACACACACGGGCGCTGAAACGAGTCTCCTTTTTTAGCTCAAAGTGGGCTGCGAATGTTCGGGAAAACGTGAAAAGTGAAAGTCCTGCATCGATGGAAAAGTAATCACCAAAGCGGTTGCTGTCTTTGTTTTGTTTTATAGCTCCGCTGACTCTTTGAAAAGTATTCGGCAGCAACTTTCTGGCCACTGGAAGTCCTCCTCCATGGCTGCGCCTCGGGCTCCACCATGGTCAAGTCCGAGAAGATCCCAACCGTATCCGGTTGGCATTTCAGAATAAAACTCTCCGCGGTGGCAGTGTTTCGTGATCCATCCTTTTTTAGCTTGAATGGTGGAAATTTACTTTCATTTTAAAAGTTACACCTGAGTTTGTTTTATGTTTGTGCTTTAACGTCTTCACTTTCTACTGAATGTATTCCAGAGGTTACATTTGAAAAATAAGATCCAAATCCACAAATATTAAAGTTAAACTTTTACAGCTCATCTTTGTACAACCAGAACAGTAAAGTGCAAGTATGTACAGCTAAGTGAAAACAAATCCAGAAATACTCTGCTCATAGGCCTCCTCCAACACTCACTGTTTGCTTTTAATGAATACTTATTTCACACAATATATGGTCTTCTCCTTTGGTGCCTCTCAACCAGTTTAGTCTAGTTTGTTATCCTCATTAGCCATAAAAGACAATGATACAAAAATCTTGCAGCTATATGAGGAGTATGTTTAGCTGGAAAAGTGGTGTTTGCCCTTTGGCAAACAATCCACTTTTTTGTTATATTATCAGGTTGAGTGAGTCCCTTCACTCTATAGAAAACTGGAGCAGAGGATGGCATTGAATGTATCACATACGCCTTCAGGGTACTATCCTTTCACCGACACTTGCTCGGGACATTGGTGTTCACCATGACCCGTTTTGTCCAAGTCCAAGACGTCACATTATTCTAATGCAGCAGTCGGTGCTAAATTAGTGGATTTTAGCTTGCCAAGTGTGTTAACATTTCCACTGTCAAGTAACAGTAATATGTCCTTAGAGCCGCATTCCTAGATCTCTTGAAATAAAGTTACAATCTGGAGGCATTTTTAAGTAGCAGTAGTAATTTGATTGCCTGCAGACATTTGCATCCCCTTTCTCAGGTGAGTGTATGGCATTCTGACTGTCCTTCCAAAAGAGCCCAAATAATATTAGCTGGTATAGATGTTTGATCTTAAAAGGCCTGAGAAGGAGGGGATGGAAAAGTCAATATATATACAATATATAGTAAATCTAATGTCAAATAATGCATCCTCTTCTTTAGTTCATTTTCAAACCATTTAGGACCTTCTGCTGTTTCGGGGTCAAACATCATTATTATCATTGATGAACAAAACAACACAGATTTGAACGTTTTTAAACCGCGCTTCTCTGACTGGTATTTTACACCGTGCGCGCTCCCGCAAACAGCCGGGCAGACTCAACGACTTTGCTGCTTTCAAGTTCTCCTCGGACGCTTGGCACATCCCGAGATGTGATCACAACTTTCTTGCGAATTTCGACATTGCTACCCCACAAACTGAACTGCTAATGGCAGATGTCCTACTCAAAGCATTCAGGTGGTGCTGCGCGGCCAGAATGAAGCCAGGAGAAGGCATAGGCTCGTATATCCTACTTTACATGATAGCAAGTCACGCCCCCTGAACGTCACACACGGGAGACAGCGAGAACAAGTTCCTGGTCGTGCGGCCGCGTTGTTATTTGCGAGGGAACCGGACGGTCCGTTTTATTCTGATATCTAATATTGTATTCACGTCAGATAAACGCAGCAATTAGTGAGACATAAGTGCTTTCATGCCTACATCCTGGGAAAAAAACATGTTCCCACGGGACTTTGCGTGGGGAGCAGGAACTGCAGCCTATCAAATTGAAGGTAGGTATTATGGGTGATAGCACAAGCCTTATATACTATATTTCTAATAATATGCAAAAAGAAAATGTTTAAAAAAAGGGAAAAAAACACCATAGGTTAATTAGGTATTTACAGTGTAGATAGCACACAACAGGACACAAAGGTCACATATGGCGATTTTTTCGGATCAAAAGGTTGTATTTATGAAGGTCATGGTTGTTTAATTATAACCCATGCACACCACGCAGTTCACAAAACGATGTTGCTCGCAGGTGACCTCAATATAAAAATGGACACTTTGACAAAAATCAGCATGGGGATAGTCAGTGAAATCCACTGTCACAAGTCCCAACAGAAACATTACTCTGATTTGTTTTCATGTCCCCGTCCTTCACATGTCTATAAAATGAAGCAACCTCTATGTGCATATTAAGGTGGCTGGCAGGCAGACGGCAAGGGACCGAGTATCTGGGACACATTTTGTCTCGAGAAAGGCAGAGTGTTTGGGGAGCAGAATGGAGATGAGGCCTGCAACAGCTACGAGCTGTGGGAGAAGGACCTGGAGTGTATTCAGCAGCTTGGACTGACACACTATCGTCTCTCGTTCTCCTGGGCCCGCCTCCTGCCTGATGGGACCACACGACACGTCAATCAAAAAGGTCTTTCCATATCACCCCATATTGGTATCCAAAGCGACACTTAATGGAACGAGCGCTTTTGTTTTTAATAGACGTTTTTTTTGATGTTGTGTCCAACAGGTGTACAGTACTACAACAAGGTAATTGATGATTTGCTGGCCTGCGATGTATCCCCCATGGTGACGCTTTACCACTTTGACCTGCCTCAAGCGCTTCAAGACCAGGGTGGCTGGAAATCCGCGGGCACGGCGACTCTGTTCAACGACTATGCAAAGTTTTGTTTCCAAACGTTCGGCGATCGCGTCAAACTTTGGATCACAGTCAACGAGCCCTACGTGTGCGCTAAACTGGGCCACGAAGACGGCCTCCACGCGCCCGGGATAAAAGAACCTGGTGTTGCTGCCTACCTGGTGGGCCACAACATGCTGCGTGCCCACGCCATGGCCTGGCACAGCTACAACTCCTTCTACAGGACGAAGCAGAAGGGTGCCGTGTCCCTGGCCATCAACAGCGACTGGCTCGAGGCGTCCGTGGCAGGTTGCGCCGAGGATGTCGCCGCCACCGAGCGCCAGCTCGCGTTCACGCTGGGGTGGTTCGCCTGGCCTGTGTTCGTGACTGGAGACTACCCAAAAATTATGAGGTCCGCCATCGACGCCCAAAGCGAGAAGTTTGGACGCAGCGGCGGCTCGAGGCTGCCCAGTTTCTCGAAGGACGAACCGGCCGTGTTGGGGACAGCGGACTTCTTCGCGTTGAACTACTACACCTCTCGTAAAGTTGAGGCGGGGGGAGGTTGTGGAGAGGTGCTGTCCATGAAGAGCGACCGAGATGCAAGGGATGTTTTGGATCCGTCCTGGCCCATTTGTGGCGTGTCCTGGCTCGCTGTAGTGCCCCATGGCTTACGCAAACTTCTCAAGTACATCAAGGTAAAAACTGAAACTACTGGTCCATCTTTTGGGGTCATTCTCAGATGAATTGCTCTCAGTTCACATCACTACAAAGTTTTCCCAAACAAGGCCCAAACACATCCCTTATTTTGAGTGGGAATTCAATCAGCTGAAATGGTATGTCGTCTTTCTTTTTTCTCTTGGCATCCATCTCAATTGACCCACGAGAAGACAAGTCACCTTCAACTGAAACGAGTAGAACACCCTGACATTTGTTTAGTGTCTTGGTATTGATTTTTTTATGCGGTAAATCTTCTTTTAACACCTCCAGAAACGCATTGATGCTTCATTAGGCCTGGCGCGTTGAACAAAACACTTACTTTACTGAAAGTGTTTGCAGTTGCAATTTCCTGCTGTTGTGCTTTGTCACAGGCCATTAGTTTGAGCCTGGCACCGTTGAAATGCAGTTAAACGGCACACCGTAGACCAATCTTTCTCTCCCTGGAATGTTTTGACATCTGAGATGCCTAGTTTGACAATAATATTTGCCCCACAATGTCTCTCCAGGACACTTTCAACAACCCAGCAGTGTACATTACGGAGAATGGCTTCTCTCAGGTGGGGCAGCTGCAGATTGAGGATGTCCAACGCTCAGAGTTTTACAAGGACACCATCTTGGAGGTGGCTAAAGGTAACGGCAGGTTTATCGGCTTGGGACGGGAGTAAATGGCCAATAGCAGAGATCAGTGAACGATCAAATGTGGCCCGTTACACCTGCATCACTTGCAATTGGGTATAAAAGGTGTCACCTCGCAAATATTGGTCGATATTCTTCTCGTTTTATTTTGCACATCACGGACAAAACCATGAGGACAATTTCTTATTATTTTCAGAGTCCTTGTTTTAAGTTTTATTAATTGGGAATAATTTTGTTTATAACGAAAAATAATCAATTAAAAAAAAGGTACAAATATTATAACAGTGCATTGATTAATGTAAACAGGAGACATTTTTCTTGTTTTAAAAGTATTCAACTTCCAGACCTCAATGTCTTTGTTGGTTTTGGCACCACCATGTGGCCAATCACTGCATGCGTCGTTGACAGCAATATTTAAAGTTATAGTTAACTTTAACTTGACTATAGTTAACTGTAAGTTAAGTTACAGTTATACTAGGCAAGATTGCAAAAAACACATTTAATTGATTTAGCCCCATTATTTAGGTTACAAATGTAAACATGCTATACATATTTGTTTATATTTTCTTCCCGTCGCAAAAAATTCATGAGTTCAAAGTTAAGACAATGTGCTTATGTTGTTGTATGTCATTGATGGCTCTAGCCGTTTAAATTTAGCAGTTTTAAAATAATTTTCTACAAAACTGTTTCATCTCTCTGTGTTCATTTGTATAGCTATACAAGAAGATGGGGTCAACGTCCGTGGATATTTTGCCTGGTCTCTGCTGGACAACTTTGAATGGGCTGATGGATTCAGTGTTCGTTTCGGGTTGTTCCATGTGGACTTCGCGGACGCAAGGCGGGGCCGCACAATATATCGGTCTGGACGGGAGTACGCAAAGATCATCTCAAAATTCCAATGTGGTCAATCCAAATGAAGAGGCTGAATAAAAAAATAAATGTCACTTCTTATACAGTTCTTTTTATCTGACACACACATTTCTACTAATTGGATGAATAAACTAACTAGGTTTTCACTTTATTGTTTACACTTAAAGCACCACTCATGCCTTTTGAAAAATGGTCAGTTTTATCCATAGAAAATCTTGACTTCCGCAGGGGGCATGATGACATGGGCTAAGAGCGCTAAGCTGACTCAGTGGGATGCAAATTAGTATTCTGTCCTGGTCACTCAGCCTGTACTGGGAGCTTTATGGAGGGAGGAGAGTTCCATAGTCAGACGGTTAAAAGCGTCTGTAAGACCAAGCTGCTGCAGAAGGTTGCGCATGATAGCATTGTATTTTGGAGGAATAGGTAGCAACATAGATGAATACTTTAAGGTGATGTTTGCCTCCAAGGTCTTATCCAAAAATCTAGATCTGGGTGGATCTTTTTCTCTGCAGCTATCTTGTATTGTACAAACGGTGCGTTGTAGTTTTATAGTATATAAAGTACAAGGTAAAATACATCCTAGAGACAATTTGGCCTTGTTTTCTATATTGGACCCCAAGCTACCACGTCCCCCCTTCCATTTGAATAAAACCCTTCTTTAGGACAGACTCCCCGTACTGCCAGGCTGCATGAAGCACACTCCAGTGGACGCCAGCTGAGAGCAACATATGTCCTGCCACAGGAACAGAGTGTAATGCCATTTGGGCTTTCGGACAGCTGTGCAAACTCCCTACTTAAAGAACGAACAGAGTGCACGAGGCAAAAAGCCTCCAAAAACGCCTTCTGCTGATCCTCTGTCTACATAGTGTTTGAGGTAGGACTGTCCAAAAATGCACCATGGATACACACAGCTGCGACGGCCATGTTGAGTATTTTACAAGCAGGGTGGGCAGGTCTCAAAGAAACATTATTTGTAATGATCAAATCAACGTTTCAGGAAATGCCAATTGGAAATCAACTGCAAGTGCTCTCATCAGTACACGGAGATGCAGAGACGTGGACGAGCATTGTGATGGTATCAGTTCGTTAGCCTACAGCGTCACCTTGTGGTGTTAAAGTGAACCACGGCCTTTAATACAGCAGCTCAGTGTGTGCCGGTCTGCACATGCCGATATGGTGTCACATGTGTGCTGTTTTGATTAATAAACTGCATCCTGCTGGTGTAACAATAAACAACTTAAGCCTCTCCCTAACCACAATACATCATAGATTTAACACAATTAATATTTATGCTCTGATGTGAAGGAAAATGTCATTTATATTCTGTGTTGGGAGACTTTGTTTGCATTAATAAGCATGGTGTATCGTGACATCCAGTTGGCTGTGCATACTGTTTTCAACAGATGTGAGTAATACCCTCGTGGCCCTCCTCCATCTATGTCAAGCCGAGTGAGATTCTTCTTTGTCTTATGATGAATAACAAGCTATTGTGGAAACATGAATAATGCTACTGCCGCTCGCATTCGAACTCTTTCACAGGCTGCTTTGAACACAAAAGTTGAACCCCAGTTCACACAGTTTCAACGCTAATAAAGTTCATTTCATGCTTTTTAATCCCAGCGGAAGGATGGCGACAGACCACAGAGCACCAAACATTGATAAACGGATGTAAAATCCGGCTCGTCAGGTGGAACCACTGCTGAAAAAGACATTTGATGAAAAAAAATAAATGAAAATAAATCAAGCAGTGGGTGAAAACAAAAACAAAGCATTCCAAATGCCGTTACCCGCGTCGGAGACAGAATTAAAATTCAAGCGGATCTTAATCACATTTCCTATGTCCAACTGAATTCTCAGCTGAGAGTTGATTAGTAATTCCATCAACTGTCTCCCAGTATTGATGGACTCCGTCTTCCTCCATCGCCGGCGAGAGGTAGCTGCATGGGTGAAAGAAGCACCACTGCAGCTCAATTGATTGAATGAAATATGAGCAAGAAGTTTAGTGCTGGGCAAATATTGGAGTCAGTCGTTTGTGGGAGACCGAGGAATGATATGGGTCTGTTGCAGGTTGAAAGGCTTAATACATTCATTAGTATTTAAATAATTCACTGCTTTGGTCTTTTTTAATAGCCCAACAACCAATATTCAACTTCAATTCATCATTTGGGGCGGAATGTATTCGTACTCGGCCGGGATGTAGAAAGTCACAAGAAACCATTTCTAAATGCGCTTTCCAATTAACTGCCAAATATATCATGTGTTACAGATAAGTTGCTTTTGACAATGAATTAGTACGTTTAATTGTAACATTCAATCACATTCACTGGCGGAGAATTACCCCGAGGAAAATGCTGGCAATTTAACAAGAGCGGCCCATTTGTATTTGACCAAACTTAAATGATTACATTTTTGACAGACACCATGAAATATTCAAGAACTGGGAAATTCATTACTCGTTACAAATTAACTAAATTATTTAGCTGCCGATAAACTATCTCCACTGTGAATTAAAAGCACAATCTCATGTATCAGTCTAGTGCTTACAGGTGCAAAGGGTCTGACTTCTGGCGAATAATTACCTTTTTCTATTTACTGAATACCCTCATTTGCATATTCCCCGGAGAAATTGTATAATTAGATTGTTGCTTCAATATCAAGATGAAGACACATCAGCCACTCTCTTCCTTCAGAGCACAGATAGGATCTCCTTCCCCCCTCTTCTCCTCCCTCAGTCAGCTGGTGAGGGACCCAAACCGACGCTCTGCCCGCCTGCTGCCTTTTCCTGCGTCGCTCTCGCTCATTTTCACTCCCTCTGTACAGCTCATCTTCCTCCCCTCTTCTAAACGCGTTGCTCATTTCCCATTGACGAGAGAGGGTGGGAGAAAACCGAAATAACAGCACAAACTTTTCTAAATCCCATTGACCTACTTCGCCAGACATTTCACTGGGAATTCATATTAGTGCAGAAGAGTTAGGAGAAGAAATGTTTGCTCATCTCAACCCCCCCCCCCATTCTCATTCTCTATGAGCTGGAAGCCATTTTCCCGGCATCCCGGCATTTGATCCACTATGACCACCACAGTACATTGTACAAGTGGATTAATGTCGCACTGTGGTGTCACCACCGTTTCGGAGCGCCGTCGCCACTTTTAACAGCGGCATAAGAAGCATGACGGCGGAGCTATGAAAAGCACTTTGGGAGACCTCGCCTATGATTGATGAATTTGGCGCAGCAGACAAGATTGAGGGGGCTGAATATTGCGAGGCCTTGAAGACAGGAAGTAGAATTATGACGGACCCATACAGAGAACTAAAGTGCCGAGACGAAGGGAGAATAAAAAGAAGAGAAAGGCAATTCAAACCTTTTTCTTTCAAGTCCCTCCCTGAAGGGACTGCAGATGACCCTGCTAACGACTGTTGAAATTCTAACTCCCTTGAGTGTGATGGCGCCGCGTGACGGGAGGGGGGTTCGCGGACCTGCCTGAAAAATTGAAAGCTCCTGGAATATTCAGCTAACCCTGTGCGCTCAGTTGGGGGTGGCCATTGGAGGGCACATGCAGAGATTGGTATTCAGGGTTTGTGCGTGTGTGGTGGGTAAGCACGGTGGTAGTTTGCGAAGAGAGAACCCCCTCTTCTGTGTGTGTGTGTGTGTGTGTGGCGGCCAATGAGCCGAGGGCCTTGTCTCATGGAAACAGTGGTAGGAGTGCGAGTGAACATAGTGGGAAGAGAAAGAGACAATTTATGGAACCTTTTAAAGCAAAGGGAATATAACTGACAGCAGTAGTGAAAAGGCCTTGATCCAAGCAGAGAGAATAATGATGTTGATATAATCTCATGCTACCAATATGCAGACACGATTGTCCTTAACAAGAAAACAATCTGCTCTGAAACTTTGCAGGCAGAAAATGGTTACCTGTCTAAAATTAATGAAATGAATAATGGGGGGCACTCGCGGCTTGAGCTCCATCCCGCATTTACCTTTGCCTTCCACGTCCTGCTTTGATCAATCATTTAACGGAGAGGTCCAGTTTTGTACAACCTACTTCTTATTTTTGTAGTGGTCACTATCCTCCACATTGGTAATGACGATACTATTTGGAAGAAAAGAGGGCCTGAAAACAGAAGCAGCCAGACCATCATGACCCATGGGGAGACGGATTTAAAATTCACTTGCTTTTTTAGCTCATGTTCGTGTGATCTTGTGAGCGTGTCCCACCAGCCGGCTCATAGGCGCCGCTCTGCAATGCACTCATACAGCGGTCACAGCTGATAATGGCGTTGGCTCCCCCGAGTAAACACTTTTAGCTCCGTCAGTGCTGTTGCAGTGGTTTGCACCGTCAGCGCTGTTTGAGTTTAACAAATAGCCTAAATCAGATGATGCACAGGCAATTTAGTGATATCCCCGCAGTTGAGAGCTTGACCGATCTTGAAGTAAAAGTCCTGGCTCCCCTCTGTCTAAGGCCGAGAAGGACCTTCAGTACTACAACAAAGCCCCTGGTTTACTGATATTATGGTTAAATAGATATAGAGTTTTTTTAGAGTTTTTGGGCCTCGCGCATTTATTAGGAATAAAAATGGAAACATGGCCATAACTCTAAAATGAACTATTATGAAAGAAACTTTCACCTACTGTTCAGCGACGGTACCATTACATGCTGCATTACGTTTTAGTACATTAACACTTTTGAGGATTCTTAAAAATGCTTTTCAGGTATTTCCTCGGCTCATCTTTGATTAACTGCACACTTTGAGTTGGGGCCGTTTCAAGAGAGCGCGGGCACGCCGGGTGCGGAGCAACAGTGCGAGCGGACTAATTAACTCTAAGTGTTGTAAGACATGCTCCCTTCTCACCCGTGTTGTCACTCAGGGTTTGAGTGGCGCTAATGAGAGAATTATCTAGCCTCGGACCCAGGTAATGCATTCAAATGAACACCAGCTGACCTGACCTATGAGATGGCTTTTTAATCTCACTACTTAATACCAATCAGAGCCGCTTTCTCATGTGCCTACAGTGTGAGGGCCCCCTGCTCTAAATGCCGCCATCCCCTTTTTGTCCCCCCACTGTTGATCTAAGGGAGAGT